TCCTAAAAGTTTTTATTTTTATGTTTTTGTTTTTCCGCCGAATGGGTGGATTAAAAAAAAAAAACAAACCTTAGAAGGGGAAATGCTGAGAGATTTATACAGTACTAAGTTTCAGAGTTTAAGTATTTTAACAAAAAAGCAGTATTATGTATTTATAATTCTATTTTTCTGAACCTCTTAAATATTTCAGGACAGTGATGATTTTTGCAATTCAAGTCCAGAAAATAGAAGACTAGAAATATTTGGACCCCTGAAGAAACATTTGTTCAGCATTGATTCTCTGTTAAGTTATGGTTCTGAGAAAGGCAACATGCCCTAATGAACAAGTTTAATTTGAAACCTATCATGGTATACTTGTATTTCACAATCACAGAGGTTTTTTGGTGGATTTTGTTTATTGGTTTTACTTACAGTTTGTTAAAGCCAATGAGTCTATTTAGAGAATTACAATTCTATTATTTGACTAACTTGACATCAGTTGACTAGTAGTGGAAATTCTATGATAGAGGTGGAGAAAGATAACTAATAGGTACAGGGGAACATAAGGAAGAAACTAATATTTAATGTATACAAAGTGATTAGAATGCAGCTAAAGAGGGGTTTTATAAGACTAGGCCAAAATATAATGCATACTCGATTTCAGCTGTGGCAAATTCATTTTGTAAGTTGTGAGCCAATGTAAACTGATAAATTTAAAGAAAACAAAACTAATCTTTAACATCTTAGTTGATTCTTGAGGGAAAAGATAATAGGGAAGGGAACCAAAAACATGATTTCAAGATAGTTTGTGGCTTGAATGTTGGATTAAATAAAAAAGTTAAGGAAGGCTTCTTAGGAATGCTGAAAGGAATCAGTGATTAACTGAATATAATAGTGTAGTAATAATAATAATGATGATAATGTGGTTTAGCAGCTAAAATTTTTTTTTTTTTTATTTCAGCATATTATGAGGGTACAGATGTTTAGGTTATGTATGTTGCCCTTGCCCCCCCGCCCCCCGAAGTCCGAGTTTCAAATATGTCCATCCTTCGGGTGGTGCACATTGCACTCTTTGTGTATTAGCAGCTAAAATTTACTCAACAGTTACTATGAGCCAGGCACTGACCTTGAGTGCTTTTACATTTATTATTTAATCTTCACTAAAAGATTCTTTTTTAGTGAAAATCTTTCACTGTAGAATTGGTTTAAACAGGTGAACTTCCTGGGATGTAAATTATATCTCACTGAAGCTCTTTTAGAAAAGTACATATACAATATTATCACATAAATCAGTAGTTTATATTGTTAGTGGCGTATGTCTGACTTTAGAGCTTGTGCTTTAAGCACTACATTAATATGCTACATTGCCCCTTTATGTTACAAAAGTAATGAACTGCTCAAGTATTTTCACCAAAGTATGTTTCCAGGTCTTTATTTGCATTTTTGTTCAGATGACTTAGTCATTCCTCTCTTATCAGGTTACTGATATATTTCTTTCCCTTTTACAGATAATGGCATCAGCCGCTAAGGAATTTAAAATGGACAACTTTTCACCTAAAGCTGGCACTAGCAAATTACAACAGACGGTACCAGCTGATGCATCTCCTGATTCTAAGTGTCCTATATGCTTGGATAGATTTGATAATGTGTCTTACTTAGATCGCTGCTTACATAAGTTCTGTTTTCGCTGTGTACAGGAGTGGTCAAAAAACAAAGCTGAATGTCCACTATGTAAACAGCCCTTTGATTCTATTTTCCATTCTGTGAGGGCAGAAGATGACTTCAAGGAGTATGTGCTAAGGCCTTCCTATAATGGCTCTTTTGCTACCCCTGATGGCCGACGATTTCGCTACCGTACAACTATGACAAGGGAACGAAATGCTTCTGTTTATTCACCTAGTAGTACCATGAATAGAAGAACAACAACTCCACCAGATAGTGGAGTTCTCTTTGAAGGGTTAGGCATTTCAACAAGATCTAGAGATGCTGAAATTCCTCAGTTTATGAGACAGGTTGCAATAAGGAGGCCAACTACTACAGATGAAAGATCTTTGCGGAAAATTCAAGAACAAGATATTATTAATTTTAGACGAACTCTCTATCGTGCTGGTGCTCGAGTTAGAAATATTGAAGATGGTGGCCGCTATAGGGATATTTCAGCTGAATTTTTCCGTAGAAATCCAGCTTGCCTTCACAGATTAGTCCCCTGGTTAAAACGTGAACTTACAGTTCTTTTTGGAGCTCATGGATCTTTAGTGAATATCGTCCAGCACATCATCATGAGTAATGTTACTCGCTATGATTTGGAGAGCCAGGCATTTGTGTCTGATTTAAGACCATTTTTACTTAATCGAACTGAACATTTTATACATGAATTTATCAGTTTTGCTCGATCTCCTTTTAACATGGCAGCGTTTGACCAACATGCTAATTATGATTGCCCTGCTCCTTCATATGAGGAAGGCAGCCATTCTGATTCTTCAGTCATAACAATATCTCCAGATGAGGCTGAGACCCAAGAGCTAGATATTAATGTAGCCACTGTTAGTCAGGCACCATGGGATGATGAAACACCGGGACCGTCTTACTCAAGCTCAGAGCAGGTACATGTTGCTATGTCTTCCCTTTTAAATACTTCTGATAGTTCAGATGAAGAACTGGTCACAGAGGGAGCCACGTCTCAGATACAAGGAGTACAAACCAATGAGGACTTAAATAATGACAGTGATTCTTCTTCAGATAATTGTGTAATTGTTGGGTTTGTTAAACCACTAGCTGAGAGGACCCCAGAACTTGTTGAACTGTCCTCTGATTCTGAGGAGTTAGGTACTTATGAGAAAATGGAGACAGTGAAGACACAAGAACAAGACCAGTCTTATAGCTCTGGTGATAGTGATGTTAGTAGATGTTCATCTCCACGCTCTGTCCTTGGAAAAGGTGAGCAAATAAATAAAGGTCATTGTGATGCTGGCACAAGAATCAAATCCAAGAAGGAAAAGAAACGATCTACATCATTGTCATCTCCCAGAGACCTGAGCTCATCTTTGAGAGGAGACAGAGTATATTCACCATACAACTATAGACACAGGAAGAGGGGAAGGTCAAGAAGTTCAGATTCACGTTCCCAGAGTAGAAGTGGGTATGATAAGAATCATAGAAAGCATCATGGTAAGAAAAGAATGAAAAGCAAAAGATCCAGAAGCAGGGAAAGTAGACCTAGAGGGAGAAGAGACAAAAAGAGATCAAGAACTAGAGATAGCAGTTGGTCAAGAAGAAGCCAAACTCTATCTCTAAGTAGTGAAAGCACAAGCAGATCAAGGTCTCGTAGTAGTGATCATGGTAAAAGAAGATCACGGAGCAGAAATAGAGATCGTTATTATTTAAGAAATAATTATGGAAGCAGATACAAGTGGGAGTATACTTATTATAGTAGAAACAAGGACAGGGATGGGTACGAATCATCTTACAGGAGGAGGACTCTGTCCAGAGCTCATTATTCCAGACAATCTTCAAGTCCAGAATTTAGAATTCAGTCCTTTTCTGAAAGAACAAATGCTAGGAAAAAAACCAACCACAGCGAAAGGAAATACTACTACTATGAAAGGCATAGATCAAGGAGCCTGTCTAGTAACAGATCAAGGACTGCATCTACAGGACCTGAGCGGGTGAGAAATGAAAAACCTGGAGGGAAACGAAAATACAAAACACGGCATTTGGAGGGTACTAACGAAGTGGCTCAACCATCTCATGAATTTGCTTCTAAAGTAAAGGATGGTCATTACCAAAAATATTCCTCAAAATTGGATGGAAACTACAAAAATGAGAGTGACAGCTTTTCAGACAGCCGATCATCAGATAGAGAGACAAAACACAAGAGGAGAAAAAGGGCCCGGAGCCTGAGTGTAGAGATAGTTTATGAAGGAAAAGCTACTGATACAACCAGACATCATAAAAAGAAAAAGAAGAAACACAGGAGGAAGCATAAGAAACACCATGGAGACAATACTTCGCGTTCTCCAGTTGTAATTACCATTGACAGTGATAGTGATAAGGATTCTGAAATAAAAGATACAGAATGTGACAATAATGGGCCTCAAGACCGTCTACAAAATGAGTTTTTGGCTCCTTCCTTGGAACCATTTGAAACTAAAGATGTAGTTACAATAGAAGATGAATTTGGTGTCCTGGACAAGGAGTGTGATGTTACCACACTTACTGACAACTTGAATAATGCCAACAAAACTGTAGATAATATTCCACCCCCAGCAGCTTCAGGTGAACAAACTCTTGATGTAAGAAAAGAGAGCACCTTTGCCTCTGATTTGGAGAGCCAGGCCAGTAATGTTGTCTCTATTCAAACTGAGCCATCAAGGCAATTGCCATCTCCACGGACATCGTTAATGTCAGTGTCTCTTGGTAGAGACTGATGTCTTAAAACTGCCAAAGCAACTCGTTGAGAATTCTGTTGGTATACAAAGGAAAAAAAGGAACAATGTCGTCTACTTCAGTCTATTTAAAGATGACTTTTGGTGAAAACTCTTTTCCCCTTTAAGTGATTTTTTTTGTGTGTTACTTTGTAAAAATCATTATTTGTTCGAAAAGTATGTATGTCCCACCCTCAGAGATATGCACTTTTAAGTGAAGAAAATGATATTGCTAGTAGTTTATTTAAAACTTGGGATCCTTTTTAAATAAAAAAAATATAAATTTTAGAAGTTATTTCATAAAGCCATATGGTATTGACATATTTTTAAGGTAATGAGTATTTTTGAATTTTTTTTTTTGAGAGTTATTTTGGAAATGTGTTATAAGCTAGGAGAATCCCTTTGGACAGTCTTTATTTTTCTTCTTAAAAATTTGTATGAGTCAAAACCATTTCTTCAGGTTAAACTGAGGCATTTTAATCTGCACAGTTTATCTTGACTTCCGCCAAAAGGAAAATTTACTATTTCCTTTATATACTTGTTTATCTGGACTGCCAGTAAAACAAATGTGTATTCAATGAAAGACAAAATAAAACAGTAACACTTTAAAATAAGAATCAGAAATTTTCCTATGCAGCATTGGTTTAAAAAAGAAGATTTTAGTAGAGCCAGAATCTTGAAAATAGCTAAGGGTATAATTTTATTATAAATACTAAATTTCAGGTTATCTGCATTTACAAATACTTCACAGTTTTCATGATTATTTTAGTTAGTTAATCTGATTTTGAGGAACATCTTATTTGCTTCTGTCTTAAGCAAAATGCTATTAAGTAGCATTTATTTTACTAAAAACACAAAATACCCTTGCCATGCTTCTTTTACATTGGTAGTTATTTTACACAAAGTGGCTGTGTGTTTCATTTTGTTTCAGAGATGATAAAATTACATCTAGGCTGATGTAGGATTGCTAGTGAACAGCAGAGCTTGAGTTAAATCTAAATTCAGCCGTCAGTTTGCCTTGCTACCACATTCATTCAGTGGAAATTAGAATGCCTGCTGTGTGGCAGGTTCTGTACTAGATTTTAGTGATGGAGCAAAGCAGATATGCTCTGTGCTCTCATGGGACTTACAGACTACTTAAGACAGATAATATCTAAATATAACATTATAAACATTAATAAATTCTTTGAAGAGAAACTATAATTCCCTTATAAGAGTATATAATGGGGGCCTAATCTCAGGTGGAAGTAACAGTTGAATTGGAATCCAGAAAACCAAGTGGACATTAACTCTAGGGGTAGAATTGCTGTTAGCAAAAATATATGCAAAGATCCAAAGGCAGAAGGGGAACCTAGCTTATTTCAAGAACAAAAAGAAGGCGGGGTTAGCCAAAGGACAGTGTGGGAACGAGCTTTGTAGGCCATGTTTAGAATTTGTTTATCCTAAGGACAGTAGAAAATTGGTTTAAAATTATAAGAATCTAAAATTGATGTTGGCAATTTTTAGTAAGCTCAGACATTCAGAAATTGTGGGAAGACAATATAGATTGATCAAGAAATACACACTGAATATATGAAATTACTTTGTGGTAACAATATTTTTCTTAAGTATTAAAAACTAAAGAATGCAGTTTTATTACACATTGTGTATTTCACATTATGTTTTCTGTTAAACATTTAATGAAAACACAATACATGGTACCATCACCCTCTTGGATGTCAGGCCCAAAATTTCCAAGTCCTGTCTTTCAGTCCCCTTATGCAACCAAATACTGGTCATTAAATATTTTTCTAGTATTTCTATTGTGTTTATACCATCCAGTCTAGGCAGCCAGGACCTCTCACCTATACTACCATAATGGGTCTGTCTGTATTCCACTCCTTTCCCCCCCATCCATTCTTGATGCAGCATTCAAAAGATCTTTTAAAAATATTTTTTCATTTCATTCCCCTACTTAAAATCAAATGAGAGAATTAGCTTCCCATTTTTCTGAGGGTATTAAAAGCAGACAAACAAAAAATTCAGCAATGTGAATTGGTTTATAAGTCTGCCTAATCAGGCTCTGGTCCATCGGCAGCATTTCTCTCACCTCATCTGTGGGAGGGCTACAGAGGTGCTATCAGAAACATCATAGGTGGCATTTTTCTTCTGCTGGGAACTGAGCTCCATCTTGGGTAAACTAGGTTTCTGTTAAAAGTGTGCTGTCACCTGCCACCCCCTTATTTCTCCTTAATTACTTGCTCTTTGAACAACCCCCAGACTCGAGAGCTCTTGTGACAATTGGTAATTAATTACTAAATGCCTTATCTCCCACCAGTCTGAAAGTTCAGTGACAACTATTTGTATATAGGTGTACTGCTATAGCCTTACTATTTCACATAGAGGTGCTTAAAACACTGGATGAATCAATAATACATAGGTCCTGGATATTTCAGAAATTGGCTAAGACTAGCTTTCTGCTTTCAAGAAGCTCCGCTATCTATATAAACTTTTAGCCTAATGTATATTTTAACTTGTTGATCTGAATTCATTGTACATGGCATGTTTTTTTTTTTAACCTCAGGAAATGTAACTGAGCCTTTCATGCTTGCTTATTCCTTCATGTGATCATTAGGAACTGTTGCTCTGGGTTAAGCAGGTTAGGCTGCTTGCAGGGACATCTAATAGGATTTTTAGAATATAGAACTAGGAAGTAAAATCTTTTGACCTCACTCTATCAATCACCCTTCTTCATTTCCCTTCATGTCCAGCTATGATTTCCTGTTTAAGGAATGTTTAAATCACTCTTTTTGCAACACCTTGCCACTCTCTTGCCCTTCTTTCTCATTCACCTAGTTTAGGGGTTGGCAAACTTTCCCTCTAAAGGACCAGAAAGTAAATATTTTAGACTTTGTGGGCTATGTGCAGTCTGTTATATATTCTTTGTTTTTTTCTACAATACTTTTTAAACGTTAATTTTTAGCTTGTGGCCTGTAGAAAAGTCATGGACCAGATTTGGTGTCCAAGCTGTAGTTTGCTAACACTTTACCTGGCACGACCTCAATCTGGATGAACCCGACTCTTAAGTTGTGCCTACATGCATCCTGCTAAGTATTCCTGAAGGACATTGTCACCGTAAAAACAGTCAACCAGCCTCACCTTCATATGATATACAACAGTAGTGGGCAAGTTTCTATAGTATGCTTGCTCAGTGTATTTGGTATAATGGGTCTTTTATACCTTTACCTCCTCAAGCCTCCCCCGCCTTCTTTCTACCACCTGGTTACAGGTACAGAGACTGATTGGGCAGTTCTGCAGCACCAGGCTCAGACAGACAGATCCTGCCTGCTTACCACACATAATACCTCTGTCATATTAGTTATTAGAGACACTGTCTGCTTCGTTGGTCTTGACTGTCACTGTCATGTGTCTTCAGTCAACTGCTGGGTCTGCTGCTCTAAGATGGCCTAAGCTGGGTTGCTGCGCTCTTTATGTTGTTTCTCATCTTCCAGCGCATTAGCCTGAGCTGTATTCTTGGTATTCTCAGGGATCCAAGAGAGAGAGAGAGAGCAGAAGTATACAAGGTCTCTTGAAACCTAGGCTTAGAATTGAGACACCCTCACTGCTATATTCTATTGCCTATAGCAAAGTCCTTAATCCAGCCCAGATTCAAGGGCAGGGAAATCAGACTCCACTGTTGTGGAAGGAGTTGCAAAGTTACATTGTAAAAGGTGTAAATATTGGGAAAAAAATTATAATGTTCATAATTTACCACAGCATCCAGCTCTCCACTTGGTGAATGAAGTCCCATTACTCTAGGTCTCTGGTTCTCAAAGTCTAGCTTTCATCAGAATCATCTGATAGGTTTGTTGAAATATAGATTGTTGGGCTCCACCCCCAGGGTTTCTGATTCAGAAGATCTGGGATGCCAAGAATTTGCTTTGCTAACAAGTTTCCAGATGGTTCTGATGCTGCAGACCAATTTGAGAACTGTTCTAGGCTAATCCCTCCATATGTGCTCTGGATTTCACTTCCTGTCTCTTTAATAGGAATTTTTATTTTTCAGTTAACCTCTTTTCCCCTTATCTGTTGATTTTTAATGACCTCCTACTTAGTGAGGTCTGCTGACCAGCAGCATTAGCCTCACCTGGGAGCTTGTTAGAAACGTAGGGTTGCAGACCTTCCTGGATCAGGATCTGCACTAACACAAGACCTGTGGGTGATTCACGTGCATGTTAATGGTTCAGAAGCACTGCCCGTGGATCATTCTTACCAGCAAGCATGCATATTCTTGATTTCCTCCTCCAAGTCTGCCTCTCCTCCAGTGCTCCCATGTTAAGAGATGGCACCATCCCTCCCAGAGCTGCTCAGGCTAAACAAATGGGAGCTCTTCTTGGTTCCTCTCTCACATACACATCTAACTCATCAGCAAATTGAGAGGGGTTTTAGGATCATATATCCTGCCAATTCACCACTTCCACTTGGACTAATGCCGTACCTCTTATCTAGTCACTCTTGCCACCTTTGTCTCCCACCTGCAGCTTGTTTTCCTCCAATCACCACAGTGATCCTTTAAAAACAGGAGTCGGATCATGTTATGCCCTCTTAAAATCCTGTGGCAGTTTCCCATCATATTGAAGATTAAAACCAAAGTCATTGTGGTCTATGGGGTCTTATGTGAACTGCTTTGGCCACCTCTCTCCCCTCCAGCCCACTCCGCTCTAGCAACCCTGCCTACTTTTCTTTTGCAGGCCCAACTTATTTCTGCCTTTGGGCCCTTGCACCTTCTGTTCCATGTGAGTACAATGCCCTTCACCCAAAAGATCTCATTCATTTAGGTGTTCCCTGCCCAACTCATCTAATATAAGCAGTCCCCTTTGCTCCTTATTCCCTTAACTCGCTTTATTTCCTTTCGCTGCACTTACTACTTACTGGAATCACATTCCCAGGAATGTTAGGGTTGGGTTAACATTCAAAACTTAATGAAATTTGGTAAAGAATATATGATCACCTCTTACCAAAATCTGTATTAGCCAGGAAAAAGAAAAAAAGAAGATACGATCACTTCAACAGATGCAGAAAAGAAAACTGAAAAATTCAACATCCATGCATGATAAAAACTCTCAACAAACCAGGACTAAAAGAGAACTTCATCAATCTGATAAAAGGCATTAAAAAAAAAACAAAAAAACTTACAGCTAACATCATAATTACAGTGAACCATTGATCATTTCCTCACTGAGATTGGTAGTAAGGTAAGGGTGTCAACTCTCACCACTGTTATTCAACTTTCTATTCGAGGCTCTAGGAGGTGCAATAAGAAAACAAAATATAATAAAAAGCATAAAGATTGGAGAGGAATAAGTAAAACTATGTATCCCCAATTGATATGATTATTTACCTAGGAAATTTTAAGGAATTTACAGAACAATTAGTAGAATAAGAGGATTTAGCAATGTTGCATGATATAAGGTTGACAAAAATCACTTGCATTCTGTATGGTAGCAACAAACAATTTGAAAATGAAATTTTAAAAAACTTCCTTTACAGTAGCATCAAAGAACAATAAAATAGTTAAATAGCCAGGTGCATGGCACGGGCCTACAGTTCTAGCTATTTGGGAAGCTGAGATGGGAGGATAGCTTGAGCCAACGGGGTTCAAAGCTGTAGTGCATTATAACTGCACCTGTGAATAGCCACTGCACTCCAGCCTTGGCAACATAGTGAGATCTTGTCTCTACAATTAAAAAAACAAAAACCTATAAAATATTTCTGAGAGAAATTAAAGACCTAAGTAAATGGAAAGACATACCACTTTCATGGATTAGAAGACTGAATATTAAGATGTCATTTCTCCCCAAGTTCCTCTGTAGGTTCAATGCAATTCCAATAGGTTTTTGGGGAGAGGGAATTGACAAGTTGATTCTTATTTCATATGGAAATGCAAAGAAGCTGGAATAGCCAATACATTCCTTATAGTAAAGAACAAATTTGGAGGACCAAATATTACCTTATTTCCAAGAATTAGTTGAAAGAGAGAGTGGTATTATCACGAGTAACAGAAAATAGAAATGTAAGAGTCAAAAATTCTACACACATACAGACAATTGATTCCCCCCCACCCCCCCAAAGGTCCCAAGGAGATTCAATGGTGAAAGGAAAAGTTTTCAACAAATGGTTCTGGAACAATTAGAAGTATGGGGAAAACGTGAACCTGGACCCCCTATTTCACAACACAACAGAATTAGAGATAGTCATAGACCTAAAAGTAAATATTAAAAATATAAACACTCTAAGGAAAACATAGAATATTTTCATTACCTTTAGGTAGGCAAAGATTTATTAAAGAGGGCACAAAAAGCAATAAATAGAAGAAAAAACTGATAGATTTCACTAATATAAACTTCCGCTCATCAAAAGACACTGTTAAGAAAATGAAATGGTAAGCCATAGACTGGGGAAGATATTTCAAATACATATATTTAACAATAAATAATAATTCCTGTAAATCTGTTAAAAAACCCTCCAAAATCAGGGTTGGGTGTGGTGGCTCACGCCTGTAATCCTACCACTCTGGGAGGTCTACGTGGTAGGATTGCTTGAGGTCAGGAGTTGGAGACCCATCTCCACTAAAAACAGAAAGAAATTAACAGACAACTAAAAATAGAAAAAATTAGCCAGGCGTGGTGGTGCAGGCCTGTAGTCCCAGCTACTAGCGAGGTTGAGGCAGGAGGATCGCTTGAGCCCAGGAGTTTGAGGTTGCTGTGAGCTAGGATGACGCCACAGCACTCTAGCCTGGGCAACAGAGCGAGACTGTCTGAAAAAAAAAAAATAATAATAAAAACTCCAAAATCAGGCAAAAAAGATCAGAGTAGCTGCTTCACAAAAGAAGTTATAGGAATGGCCAATAAGAACATGCAAATGTGCCCAGCATCATTGATTATATGGGAAATTGAAACCACAGTAATATACCATTTCACACCGACCAAGATGGAAGTTAAAAAAAAAAAAAAGGGCTGACCAATGTGTGTATCTACTAGAGCTCTCTCCTAGTGCGGTGGGGAATGCAAATGAAAGCTGGTTATAGCCATTTTGGAAAACACGTACCAGTTTCCTATAAATTTAAACACACACTCACCATAGGATCCAGCTGCCCTGGGAAAAGTACACCAGTATACATTCGAGACGCATCGAATTGCACATAACTGTCTGCATTTTACTGTATCTGCACTTTACCGCTAAAAAAGCAAAACAAAAAATAGATGAAAAAATAAAAATAAAAGCATTTCCCAGGAGTCCTCTTCGGTCCTTCTGGGTCAGCTGGCTCCATGTGGCGGGAAGCGAAACTGAGGGAGCCGTTTACCTGCTGCAGCGCAGCCCCCGCGGCCCCGCCCGCACCCAGCTGCTGCAGTTGCAGTTTCGATTTTCCCTCTAGCAGTTAAAGTTCCCCTGCAGCCCCGCCTCTCATACCGTGTCCTTTCCTGTCTCCCCACTCCCTCCGCCTCCAGCCCGGCTTTTAAAGGAGCGGGGCACAGGCCTCGCGGGAAGCCGAGGCCAGCATGACCACCGAGCAGCGGCGGAATCTGTGCGCCTTCACGGACTATGTCAGGAAGACGCTGGACCCTACCCACATCCTGGGCTACATGGCCCCCTGGTTCAGGGACGGTGAGTGTTTCCCCCACATTGGGGCAGGAAAACAATCTAGGACTTGTTTTTCCCTTGCTTTTTCCCTTTTACTCAATAAAGGTTACCTGCTAGGAAGCCCGGGTTTGTGGCAAGGTCCCCACAGCATTTTAAACTAGAGATTGCCAGACTCTTAAGGAGGCCATGGAGGCGTAGGTGGGGAACCTGAGTTCCAGCGAAGTGAAGTGACTTGCTTAGGGGTGCACTTCTATTTAGGTTCAAAGCTGGGGAAAAAACTGTTTTATTTCCACTAGTACGTAAATCTACCTTTTGCTTGGCTTTCTGCTGCCATCAGAGATTGAGGATACCATACAAATCTTTCCTTAATATACTTTACAGCCCAAGGTTTTGGGAGGGGGCAGGCAAGGACAGTTGTATGCAAATGATTACAATAACTTCCTACAAAATGCTGTCGGAGCTCAAAGGAAGTTAATGTTTTCTCTGCCAGGTCTTACTTGCTCTTCAAAATAACCAGAAGCTTGAGAGAAGCAAGACTTTCCCAAGACCGAGTAGCTTTAGGCTTTAGTACAGGTGTTTTCCACCAGGCTTTTGAGACACGTGATGGTGGATAAGGAGCATTTGCGAATTGTACTGAATCGTTTGTGCTGGAGAGGAGCAGAGACTTCTGGAAAAGAGGAGGAATGGAGGTGGCACTTGCAAGGCGGCAGCATGAGAGAGGGGGTCCAGCAATTCCTCTTCAGTCTCCAATGGCCTAAATGTCTTTACGGATGTGACCACAGTTTTTGGAAATTGCATTAAAATTGTCAGATAATTGGGGCTAATTGCTCTGCAAAACCAAGCCAAAAGTTGTGGAGGGAGGAGGGAAAGAATCCCACCAACAAAAGTGGACCTCCACTTTCTAGTTGTGTCCAGAGGAAAGTACCAGAGTAGACACAGGACATGTCTTTTAGAAATATTAATACTTGGATGTAACACTAGCGAACTGGTGTGAATCTCATTTTTCCATGTACTTATGTATTGATTTAATAAACCTTTTTTTTTTTTTTTTTTTTTTGAGACAGAGTCTCACTCTGTTGCCTGGGCTAGAGTGCCGTGACGTCAGCCTAGCTCACAACCTCAAACTCCTGGGCTCAAGTGATCCTCCTGCCTCAGCCTCCCAGGTAGCTGGGACTACAGGCATGCACCACCATGCCCGGCTAATTTTTTTTTTTCTATTTTTAGTTGTTTGGCTAATTTCTTTCTATTTTTAGTAGTGACGGGGGTCTCGCTCTTGCTCAGGCTGGTCTCGAACTCCTGAGCTCAAACAATCCATTGCCTCGGCCTCTCAGAGTGCTAGGATTACATGCGTGAGCCACCACACCCGGCCTGATTTAATAAACCTTGATTGAATAAAAGAAGCAACTCATGTGTTAGGTATTATGTTAGTGTTGGAGATAATTTACTAAGCACCTGTTATCTAATAGAGGGAGCATTATGTTGGGAGCTGAAGGATCACTGGTGAGCACAATAGAAATGATCCTGCCCTAATAGCAATTAGAGCTCCTATGTGAAGGGCAGGTAGCTAAATAGACAGTAAATAATAAAGCCCAGTAGTGGTCTGATGGAAGGCTATAGGGTGCTGTGGGAGCACATACCTGGGAAAGGTACCTGGTCCAAAGGGCACAAGCAAAGCTTCCCAGGTATTTGGCATTTGAACTGAAGTCTAAAGTAGGAGAGAGAATTAGATGGAAGGAGACAAGAAATTGCAGGTAGAGGGCTCCTTATGTACAAAGGTCTGTGGTGAGAGATAAACCAGTGTTACAAGAATCCAGAGAATATTGGAGTGGTGGCAGTGTGGAGAGGCAGGAGTTGAGAGGGACTGTAAAAAAAACTTGCCCTTGACTTTGGCATAATAGACCTTTGGGGCCACCCATGGGAGCATTTTCTGTGGGTGCTTCATGCCTGTAATCCTATCACTTTGGGAGGCCAAGGCGGGAGGATTGCTTGAGGCCAGGAGTTCAAGATCAGCCTGAGCAACATAGACCCTGTCTCTACAAAAAATAAATTATCTGGGCATGGTGGTATGTGCCTGTAGTCTCAAAATCTCAAGTACTCCAGGGGCTTGAGTCCAGGAGTTTGAGGTTGTAGTGACCTATCGTGGTGCCACTGTACTCTAGCCTGGGTAACAGAGTGAGACCCTGTCTGAAAAAAAAAAAAAAAAAAGGTAAACTGCCCAGTGTACAGCAAGGCAGTTTATCTGGAAAGTCCTCCGCTGTGGCTCGGGTAGTCGGGTAAAGCTTGACCTCCATGTGGAGTATCAGTAATGGCTGGTAGCACATCAAGGGGAAGATCAGGCAGCAGGCCTGGGAGCAAAAGTACAGCTGTAGGACTGGGTTGAGAACAGAATGAACTGACTCGAATAGGTTAGGGTTCTGGGCCCAGGGAAGCGAGCATAGGTGACAAGATAGGTTATTATTATGGGTTGAATTTTGTTCCCCCAAAAGGATATGTTGAAGCCCTAATCCCCAGTACCTTAGAATGTGACTTATTGGCCGGGCGTGATCCTGTAATCCTAGCACTCTGGGAGGCCAAGGTGGGAGGATTGCTTGAGCTCAGGAGTTTGAGACAGGCCTGAGCAAGAGTGAGACCCCATCTCTACTAAAAATAGAAAAATTAGCTAGGTGTGGAGGTGGGTGCCTGTAGTCCCAGCTATTCGGGGGGCTGAGTCAGGAGGATCACTTGAGCCCAGGAGTTTGAGGTTGCTGTGAGCTAGGCTGACACCACCACACTCTAGCCCAGGTGACAGAGCGAGACAGTCTCAAAAAAAAAAAAAAAAAGGTGGTTTATTCGGAGATGGTGTCTTTACAGAAGTATTAAAATAATCAGTTATGAGGTCATACTGGAGTTGGGTGGGCCCTTAAGTCAATGTAAGGTGTCCCTATAAAAAGATAGCCGTGTGAAGACGGGCAGATTGGAGTGATGTGATCACAAGCCAAAGAAACAGGAGAAGGCAATATGAAGACAGAGGCAGATTGGAGGGAGTGCAGTCACGAGGTAGGGAATGCCAGCACCTACCAGAACCGGGAAGGGGCAAGGAATGTATTCTCCCCTTGAGCTTTCAGAGGAAGCGTGACCCTGCTGACACCTTGATTTCAGATGTGGCCTCCAGAACTGAGAGAGGATAAATTTCTATTGTTTTAACCACCTGGTTTGTGGCAATTTGTCACTGCAGCTACAGAGGAGACTAATATAGATGGCTAAAATGAAAAAGACAGTAAGAAGCATTGGCAAGGATGTAGAAATTAGAATCCTGCTAGATTGCTGGGGGGAATGTAAAATGATGCAGCTCTTTTGGAAAACGGTTTGATGATTCCTTATAATGTTAAAAAAATGGAGTTACCATATGATCTAGCAATCTTACACCTAGGTGTACACTTGAGAAATGAATATATATACACAAAACATTGTACACGAATGTTCATAGAATTTTTATTTATAATAGCCAAAATGTGGACACAACCCAAATGCCCATTAACTCATGAGCAGATAAATAAAATGTAATATATCCATACAGTAAAATATTATTTGGCAATAAAAATGAATAAATGATACATGCTACAACTTGGATGCACTTTGAAAACATTATGCAAAGTAATAAAGAAGCCAGTCGCAAAGACCACATATTGTATGATTCCATTGTTATGAAATGTCTAGAAGAGGCAGATCCATAGAGATCAGTTTGATTTGCGATTGCCTGCCTGGAGCTGCGGGGAGGCAGACTGGGGAGTGACTGCTAATGGGTATGGAATTTCTTTTTACAGTAATGAAAATGCACTAAAATTAGATAGTAATGGATTCACAATTGTAAAAACCACTGAATTTTATACTCGAAATGGGTTAATTTTATTGTTGCCAACATAGAGACCTGGGCAGATATCCCTTTAACTAGACCTAGGTTGTGAGGCATGCTTTCCTCTCTTGCTTCATTCAGTCAGCATACCTTTGTTCAGTGTCTATTATGTGCCAGGTCCTCTTCTAATCTCTGAAAATGTAGTGGTTCACTAGCCAGATAACTTGCTTACTCCATTGGAATTTGCATTCCATTAACAATGGAAAAAAAAATGGAAGATTACCATCAGGCCATACTAAGGTAGTGGTTTTGTCACTACTCCCTAGGCATGAAGTTAGTGTACAAAGTCATAATGATCACCAGTAGGATGGTAGATACTTTCATGGCCCTTTTTGGCAGAAAACTATCCCTGTTTATTTCTAACTGCTTACTTGAGTCCACTATAATTGTTACTGATGCCATGGAGTGGTCCTGTCCTCACACTTTTTTAATCCAGCTGTTAATTCAGGCTTTTGAACAAAAACCAATCAAGATGTCCGAGGAAGGTTTTGTTCTTCCGCCTAAGCCAGTGCTTCCATGACTTCCTCCTTGTTGTGAGGAGACTTTTTTCAAACATCTTGAAGAAACTCCTTTTCTAGAGTATGTTCTCAGACTTCCACACCAAACTAGGAGAAGCTTCCAGAGAGCATGGGAAGGGTGGGTTGGTGAAGAATGGGCTTAGTGAGTCCAGACAGAGAATTTGTTGCTTTCCTGAAGTTCCTTCCTATGCTGTGACTTGTTACAGTCCCTATCCACATTCAGGAAGGTCTGGCCATCCTTTTCTGGATTTTCTTCCAATGAGTAGTGGTTCTGCAGTTTAATGAGTCATTCTTGCTTCTGTTTGTAGATGAGGTGCAGTGTATTCAGGCTGAGAAAAACAACAAGGGCCCAATGGAGGCTGCCACACTTTTTCTCAAGCTCCTGTTGGAGCTCCAGGAGGAAGGCTGGTTCCGTGCCTTCTTGGATGCCCTGAGCCACGCAGGTTAGTTCATTTTTCTTACTCACAAATCGGAGAATATTACTTTGCTGTTTCAGAATGCTGTAAAAGTGATATTACTTTTGAGATGTCCACTTACAGTTTATTTCTCTTAGTCTGAGGCAATGTAAAGACTATTTTCAGGCAGATGATATAATTATCTACCTGAAATAGCCAAAGGAATCTACAGAGATTATTGTAACTAATGGGAGAGTTTAGCAAGATTATTGGATACTGATCCAGGTCTAAGCCAAAAAAAAAAAAAAAAAAAAATCACTGGGAAAGGAGGATCACTGTTTGGAAATAAGCTATTCAGTAAATAACAATGGGCCATTATTCATTATTAACAGGGTAGTGTTAAAAACTAAACAAACTTCAACTTCCATATCCTTGAGGATACAAATTTGTATCCCTTACTTCATTCCATTCTCTTCTTCTCCCTTGCCCTCTCCCTACCACACACAGACACAATGTGTTCAAAAGGATTAGATTTAATTCTAAAAGACAAAATTTTTTAACAATTTTAGAAAATCTAGAATGGTATTCTTAGGACCCTGCGGTGGTAGGGCAGAATTTATGAAACAAGACATTAAAGCATTAGCCGTGAAAGAAAGGGTGATACATTTTATGTGTTGACCTAAAAAGGAGAAGCTGAGGCAAAATTAATATAGACCCTTTATTTGGGCCAAGGTTGAGGACTACATCCCTGCATGCACTTCCAGGTTGCCTTGGGGAATGCTCTGGAGTACAAAGGAGAAGCTCAAGTTTTTAAAGAAAAAAGGATGAATCAGGAGGGGGACGTATTACAAAAGTTGTTCATCAGGAATTCTCACTGATTTACACAAATAACATTGTAAGTGGTTGGCTACACATTGTTGAACTATAGGGCGTATGGCATTTTATGGCTGCTTGGCAGCAGTCAGTCCTCAAAACAAGTGGTTTCAAGTGGTAATTATTTAGCTCCAGGAGGCATGGTATTGCTGATACATTTTAAATGCCTCTCTGGGCCTGATAATTTAAAGGGGCTTGCATTCCTCAGAAAAAAAGATTTTTTTTTTTTTTGAGACAGAGTCTCACT